ACATCAGACTAGATACAACATGCAGAATGTTTTTTTGAACTCATCCAGAAAATCCAAAGAAAACATCATGAAACATCTTACTAGAGAAAAAAAGCCTTAGTTATTCACCCTGCTCCGACACTGTCAACAGAAAGGCAGAAATAAAGAATGCTACTAATACTTCAGAACTACTGATATAAGACATCAAATTTCTAGATCAGTGTATTAAAAAAAGTGAACACTTCCTCTTTTTTCGCTCTCCTCTACCTTAACTAGAATCATGTTAAAACAAACACAAAAACAAACAAAGTGATATTGAATGTGATGCTTCAGAGCTACTACTGGAAGGAGTAATAATTCATAACTTCCCTAACCTCCTTCCATCCCTGCTGATTCAGAAGGGAAAAAAACAAATCAATCCACAAACCAACCAGGGTCTCTTGTAGATTTGCTGCTATTCCCCAAAATGTTGGCATTTGCTGCCATGCCACAATGTTGGTCCACTGAGTAGGATTCCTGTGGAAACTGTCAACAGTAATTCACCAAATGCAAGTACCATTCTTAGCATGTGAGAATAAATGCAGGTTCTATCGACATGTACAATGTGCTTAAGAAAATGAAAACTTTTGAAGAGTAAATAGCACTGCATTTGAAATTTATTTTTCTGCTTCTCTAGTAAAACTTAGTATTTTTGCTCACATAAGGATGGTCATTTGTGATTCCTTCAAATGGCAAAAATGCATACTCCTCTTCAGGCCTCTATTCAATAGTTTACATTACTCTTAACAAAATCATTCTACATAAACAGCTCCTTAAAAATAGTACTCTCTCATCAAATCTAATTTGACAGAAAGAAGTTTAAGGAAAAAAGGAGTGCTTTATAAGTGAAAATGTACAAATCTTTGGCCTTTCTCTTGACATTTTTATATGTCAAAAAGCAAAAAAAGAAAAACAAACCTTCATGTAATTCAATCTTATGATTACTTTTGCACCATATTTTGTTTTTACACCACAAAAGGAGGCACTTTCAGTATCTATAAAAGGTGTTTAATCCTAAAACATATTTACTTAGAGAATAATTAAAACAATTCAATACATTCTAAGACCTAGCAGAAAATTATAAGTTACCACTTCTGAAAGTCATTTGAAAGTCAATGATGGTACCTGATCAACAACAGGAAGTGGGGATTGGATCAAATATAAGAGCTTATGGGATTTCCTACATGGAGAAGAAAAAAGATATTCCTTTATGATGTTTAGGAGTGACAGCTGCTCTTTATTCCATTTTAATCAGTGAGTATTCTATCCATTCAAGTTTTCCTTTCTATTTTTCCTTATGATAAGTTTCTTAACAGTAGCCTAAATAACAATGATATATAATGAATACCACAGAAATCTACTGGAGTCAGTTGAACTTCAGGAGTAAGTTATCAGAAAAAGATAAAAGAAAAAATGAGCGAGAACCTCAAATATAAAAATTTTACGGGCTGTGAAACTTGGTCTCTCACAATCATGTTACTGCTCAAATGAGAGGCGATCTGATTTTTGTCTACTGGAGCAGCATCGTGGCACATCAGCAGGCAATGGTGATGTTGAGAACAGCAGCAAAAATAAACAATTGTATGCTCATAAAGAACCCAAGCCTACAAAATGGATACCTTCCAGGTGAATTTTACACTTAAAAGACCCAAGACATCAGGATAATAAAGCTCTGTACTTATAATCTTTCATATGTCCTATTGTGGCTATTATGCTTAAGTAAAATAGCTAAAAATTAAAAAAACAACAACAAAACAGAAAAGATGACAATACCATAAAAATGTAGCTGTCTATTTTGGCAGCTATATCGCAGAACTTCTTGACTATCTTTTAATCAGCTGGGAAAAAAAGTCAATAACTGTATGCAAATGAATAAATTGTCAATATCAAAATACAAAAGTACTATCAATAATCACCTCTGACTTTCAGATTTAAATTCAGTGCAATTGACAAATGCATCGCTAAAGGAAAATGCAGCTTAAACATACTCAAAACATTTGTGTCTATTCCTGGGAGCACATTTAAAAATTATTGCACAGATTTTTTTTATTTTTATTTATTTTTTTAAAACAACAACAGAGGTCAACCACAGATGTGGACCTCCAGCAATAAAAGCAGGATTTCAAGTGCCAGATACTCAGCATATTAGGTTTCCTACATAAGTCACAGGGTAATAGTTCTAAGTATCTATAATGTGATCCAAACCCTAAAAACAGCTGGCACAAAACCATCATGAATGACTGCCTCTCTGGATGTAAATTTTTAAAAATATTATTACAGTATCATAGCCCCCACTAACAACAACTGGGGTACATATAACAATGTATTATGGAATTAAGTGTATTTATTTTCTTTAACAATAGCAAATGCTATCCTACCTTAGTAAAAACCAAGACTTGCTTCAATCAATGCTCTTTTGTAAAAATAGCAAAATAACAAATGCTGAAAATCAAAGCTGCATTACTTGGGCTAAATCAGTTTCTATTTAAAATAGGTTAAAATTTTAGTAAAGGCCTCAAAACAATTAGTGATGGAAATAGTGTTATAAATTTGCTAAGCTTGGTAATAAGCGATTCCTCAATTAAAACCTTTGAGAGATAAATTTGACAACTGTTCTCTGGATTCTCACCTCAACCATGACAAACCTGTTAATCACACATATGAACACAGCCCCATGCTATCATTTGTCAATTCTCTAAATTTTCACTTTTAGTTGCATGAGCACAGGAGGAGGTTTGACCTGATACCTATATCCTTAAGAAAATACTTGACATGATAAACAGAATAAAAGACATGATATAGTAGTGATTACCGGGGGGAAAAAAAATAGCAGCTTAAGTCTATCTATATTTGAAAAAATGTAGTCACAAGTACCACAAATGCAGAATCAGAGCAGCAGGGAGGTTAGTGCAATTATACTTTAAAAAAAAAAAAAATCTGAATCGCTGCTATTTAAAAACACCTTGAAGCAAGTCTTTTGTTTTAAAGATTGTTTTTAAACTAAGGTAGCTAACATTTTGCCATGTAATGGCAGTGTTATATGCCGTTATCTTGCTTTGTATAAAGAAAAATAACATGAGAGATTTTTAATACTGGAATTTGGTTATATTACATATTTAAGCTTCTACACAGAATGATGGACACTTTGAGAAGCTAATCCTTATCCAGAAACATTTTAATCTCTTAAAAAACAAAGCAAAACAAACAAACAAACAAACAAAAGCCCCAAACCTACTTTGCTCCTTTTACAATAGTGCACATTTTAACCATAATTTAGTTATGGCTACAAAACATCAGAAGATTTTTTTTATGCATCTTCTCTATGGTATTTTTTAAAAAGTTTTTGTGCCCTCCTAGTCTTTAATTGGCAGAAATATGTCCAAAATAGAAACTACTGCATTTAAGCCACATCACAAAACAAAAACAACAAAACAAAACAAAAAAACAGAGCATAATACCCCTTTACTGATGTGTCTTACAGATTGACGTGACCAAAGGCATATATTTTCATTTAATTTCCAATTTCCCCTTCTACAACATGCACCAATTGAATATATGCTCTGGGAGCCATAAAAGGTACCAAACATTTATCTTTTCAAAAGAATGCATTAAAATATTTTTAAGAATTTTTTGTTTAAAAGGTGAAAAAAATATAAACAAGAAACTGATTCACTCCCTTACTTCATGCATCCATAAACTAAACCAAAAACAAAGTTTAAAAGCAAGAACAAACTACTGCTGCAAGTTTTTGTAAGTCCATTTTCTCTGTACATACAAACTGCTCAACTACTGAAGGGAAGAAAAGAATATAATCCATGGTGTCTGCTGATTCAAAGGGGAGAAACAAGGCTGTCATTAGTATCCAAAAAACTGGTACATGTATGGGCTGCTCTTATAATGCATATTTCTTTCTTCTGTTTTTCATATCCAAAACTTGTAAATGCTATTTTAGGGGCACAGCAGATTAGATTCCAGCACTTGGTGAACAGAATTCACAAGCTGTGACAAAATTCTGTCATCTTCAGGGTGCAATTTGTGTATATACACTGGATGTATATGTTTCTTTTAGATTTGGCTGTAGTGGACTGGCCATGGTTCAAGTGGGACTATAGCAGTACATGGGTCAGGGACAGTCATTTGGCTATGTACACATTCATAGTCGGTCCATGGCTTCCAACTAGTAGCGCTATTTCCGAAGGTCTAATACACAAACCTGTAAGAAATTAAAATAATCAACCACTGTGTTAAGAATTTCATCATACATTTTTAGCTTAACTTTTCTATAGTACGGTCTGGAGTCTATTTCTTTCTTTCTTTTTTTTTTTAAATATATCTTTATTGATTTCAGAGAGAGGAAAGGAGAGGGAGAGACAGAGATAGAAACATCAATGATGACAGAGTCATTGATTAAGCCTGCAACCTGGGCATGTGCCCTGACCGGGAATCGAACCCCGATCGCCTGGATCCTAGGTCGACGCTCAACTGCTGAGCCACGCCTGGCCAGGCTGGAGTCTATTTCTTGGTTCCAAGTTCACAAAACTGGTGAAGCAATATAGTAATCATGGCAACGGGCACTTAACAGGAATCAGATAAATCGTCTAAGCAACTGGAGGAAACAACGATGGGCTAATATGACAGAGGAAGAACCATGGCTACAATTTTGAAGATTTACTCTCTGTTAACTAAGAAGTAGAAAAAATACGCTCAAAAAAAACTATTTCCTATCTCTTGGGTCTTAACAAAAGACACTACAGATTATATTAAGCTCCAGCTCCAGTAAATAGCTAATGGCTATATCCTTTCCATTTTCCCTTTGCTTTCAGAGCTTTGGAAGTCATAAGTAGTATTTCTGTAGAGTTGGCCGACCTGATCCTGAAAGTATCTCAGAATCACACATTCCTCAAATGCACAACTCAACTACCTCTTTTCCCCCCTCCCTGGGCCACCAACACTCTTCTGTAGGGGAGAAAAAGTAGAAACAGGCAGTGAAAATTCATCTCTCTCAGAGTGGTATTCTGCTATTCTTAATTTCACTAATGAAGGTTTACTTTAAAAATAACTCCATTTCTTGATTATAAAAAACACGCTTTTTGGCAAAGGTGGCCTAAATTTTGTTACATTATTTGAATGAAATGAACATGTATACAGCCTTCAGTAAAAAAAATCAATACCGTATCATAAAATTTATTTTGAAGAGAACATTAAGCTACATTTATTCACTATGCTTACACACCCTTTGGAAACACTGTATTATACTTACTGAACCATCTGATGCACTGGCTCCAACCTTGTCTCCTGCTGCATTCCAGCAAACTTCAAAAATTCCACCTGTTCCCCTATAGCTGTGAACTAGAGCACCTGTCTAAAAAAAATGAAAAACAAAAATTTATAAATATTAACATATTGAGGTAAAAATATTATATGGCTTTATTTCTAGCAATCAAAGGTAGGATTCAGCTTTCACTCCAAAATAAATACAAGGTATAAGATACTAGAAATGTGATTTGATGATCCTTTTATAAAAAGATAACACTAGTCTGCTCTCAACAGATCATTCACTCACACATTCAGTTTCTCCAGTATTGATAATCATTCTTAGCTAAGGTACCTCTGGCCTCTCTGACACATTAACAATGGCTAGAAGTGAATAGTCAAGGCATGGCTTGAAATAAATTTTTCATGATGTTATTGAAAGCTGCATGAGTTTGGCAAACTTGTAAATAAACAAAATTGTCAGAATTTCTTTGACAAACACGCTAAAGAGAAAGTACAATAAACTAGTAAAAGAAATTCCAGTGTGAGTCTGTTACGTAGTCCATATTAACGAAAATTCCTATTAAAATAGCCCCCTAAACTATAGGAGTTATGAAAGAAGCTAAAATATACGCATATTATTCTTGAAAGATGACAAATTTTTTAAAAAGTGTAACTAGGAACACTACAATTTCATTATCAATTTAGCTGAATAAGTATAAAATATTTTATTCCTGCAGCAACAGAAACCATAATCATTCAGCTGCCACTGAATAATTAAGACTCAGTACAAAAATGTACTGTCCTAAGAAGCCAGTCATTAAACAGGGCAAAGGTCAGAGGTTCTGCTATGAGAAATTGGAAAACAATGAAAAATATGCTTCTGATGTTCTGCCCTGATAAACCAGGACAGTCTTTCTCAGCTTTAAAGTAATCTAACAGGTCAAACTAGAAAGACTGTCTTTCCTTGCTTTCCCCTTCAGAGTCAGTAGGAAATACTGCAGGAACCACAGGTCACTGCCACAAGCTTACCACACTGGGAAGGCTCTACTGGCTTCCAATTTTTTCCCCTCCTACCTAAAATTTCTAACAATTTAAGAGATTAATTAAAGTGTGTGAATACAGGTGTTGAGTATCTACAAGTAATGAGAAGAGAAAGGAGTGGCACCAACAAAATCTAAACTGTTGATATTAAAAAGTAAAACCTATAAGACAGTCAACTTTGGGGTTTAAGGAAATAAAAATTTCTTTCAAAAGTACTTACCAAGTTCTAAGCTTGAATTAAGCTATAACTGAACCAAAATAGCACGGTCAAAAGCCAGAGCTGTGACATTAACAAAGGCCAATGAATCATCAGCATCTACTCAAATTTGTATGTATATTCAGACGAGACTTCAACAACTTACCTGTCAAGTGCTTAGGTAACACATCACCCAAGTAATGCAAGAAATAACTACAAGTATATATGATAAAACGATAATGACTTTCTCCTGCACTAAGAACTCACTAGATGCATTTTATTATTTTCAAACTTCAAAAAAAAGTAAGATGATATTTTTGATACATAACAGTGATACAACAAAACAGCATGGATAGCTGCTCAAATGCCCTTAAAAACCAATCAGTGATCTGCCATTAGAACTCTAAAGCCACATACCCAAATTTCATTAAAACTGATTTTCTCACAATAGAGTAAATGAGTGATTGAAAAGGTAAACAACAGACAGATTATCTATAGATTGTATCTAAAAAGCCTTTGCTATTCAATCACAACAGAAAGATTAATGTGAAAGGAAAGCCAAGGGGAAATAGAAACTATTAAACTAAGAGAGTGCAGCAATGTGTCGAAAGTCAGAATGTTCCAAACACAAGCAACAACCGGTAAGTGAAAGGAGTGTATTTTTTAAAGATGCTATTCCTGGTTAACAATATGATCCACACTTCAGAATAAATTAAGAAAAAGGAAGGTCTTTATATAAAGAAATTATAAAACCTCACTGAAGGGGAAAAAAGACTTAATTAGGGGGACTTATAAAGTTAGTTATTAAAGCTATACTAAAGATGCAGGGATATACCAGAGCATCTGTGAATAAACCACATAAGAACCTGGAATGTGAAAGGGGGCATTACGAAGCACTAAAGTGACAAGAAATAGTGCTGCGACAACTGGGTAACCATCTAGAGGAAGATAAAATTAGAACTCTACCTCACACCATATATAAAAAAACAATCCCAAAGGAGTTCAAAATATAAATGGAAAATAGTGAAAGTATAAAATGAAAGAATCATAATGCTTTTACACACACACACACACACACACACACACACACACGAGAACAACAAAATAAACCGTAATAGACAGCTGCCTGCAGGGGATCAAGACAGAAATGGGAGCAAGAGTTCTCAGTGTATACCTTTTACAATGTTTTGGTTTTGGGGGGAAGCCATCTGAATGAGTAATTTAATCAAAATAATACTTGAGCCCTGGCTGGGTGGCTCAGTTAGTTGGAACATTGTCCCAAACACCAAAAAAGGTTGCGGGCTCGACTCCTGGTCAGGACACATACCTAGGTTGTGGTTTGATTCCCAGTTGGGACACGCATATAGGAGGCAAGTGATCAATGCTTCTCTCTCACATCGATCTTTCTTTCTCTCTCTCTTTTAAAAATCAATAAAAACATACCCCTGAGTAAGGATTAAAAAAAAGAAAAACTTCAAAATGATGATTTACGCAACACAGTCTGACCAAACGCAATGGTTAGCGATACAAAGAGAAGCGCCCACAATCACTTATTACGCTTGTACGACGGCCAGAGAGGAGCTTGCTCACGGGAGGCGAGTGGCTGCTACTGAAGAGCCAGCGCGAGGCCCGGCTGGGGAGCTGGCTCGGCGGTTAGTGTCATCGATGGGCCGAGCCGCCCGTCCGGGCCCGGGCCCGGGCCATACAAGGAGCAGCCAGTGACTGCATAAATAAGTGGAACAGCAAATCGATCTCTCTCTCAATTTAAAAAAAAAAGAAGAAAAAAGAAACTACATGGAGAATAAGAACTAACACACAGAAAAAGATTTAAAAAGAAAAAAAAAAAGCAACAAAACAGGCTGTTTTCTCTGCTTTTAGGAAAAAATCTCTATAGCACCGTCCCTAAAAGGTTGTATGGTTTTAAGTTTTTTCACTGCCCTTTAGTACATTTTTTTTACTGCTCACATATAGGTTCTTCAAAGACAATTTTTTTAGAAAACAAAAAAATTATATTATTTAATAAATGCATCTTAAATTCTCACATTTTATGTCTGTGAAACTGTTGAAAAAATAAAGAATCTAAATTTATTCCTAAATTCTGATCTATACAATGAAAACATAACTTCAGTTGGTTTCAATCTTTACTTAGCTGTAAATTTAAAAGGTACTCATTTAAAAACAAGAACTGAATTCATACCACAAAAATAATGATAACCAGAAAGGAAATTATTTGTACATGCTAATGTTTCTTACTGAATATAAGCCCACTTGACTATTCTTATATAGACATAGAGACATACCTGTGTGTTCCAGATGTGCACACATTTGTCAAAAGAACCACTTGCCAGATACCTGCCATCAGGACTGAAAGCTACACTGTACACAGGCTCTTGGTGTTTTGTCAAGGTATGGATGCAAATTCCTCGGTCTACATCCCATAATCTAACAGTAGAGTCAAAGGATGCACTGACAAGGAGGAAAAAATATTGTTTTATAAGTAATGAAATACTCTTAGGCCCACCCCAATATACAATATTCATCCATTCCTATTAGCCAGCCACAAATTCCTCATGAGAAGCAGAATGGGCTGTTAGGAAAACAAATCTATAAATGAAAAAAGGCAGCCTCAGGGCAGCTCCAAGTCCCTGAATTGAAACACATACACAAACTAATTCACTGTATTCCTTTGCTCTTTAAATAATTCCTTTATATTAATCCATGGTTTTGAACACTGTATTGACTGTATTTTTAACTTTACTTTTTTTTTAATCCTGAGGAAATTTTATTGCACTGGGCTTCAATTACTTGGGTTATAATCATCAGCAAATATTTGATATCTCCAGACAAAAAAAATTCCATTATGACATGAAATAATAAAGCTCTATTTAAAAGTTCCCATTTAAACCCGACCCATGTGGCTCAGTGGCTAAGAGTCCACCTATGAACCAGGAGGTCACGGTTCGATTCCCATCAGGGCACATGACCAGGTTGCGGGCTGAATCCCCAGTAGGAGCAGATCAATGATTCTCTCTCATCATTAATGTTTCTAGCTCTCTCTCCCCCCCTTCCTCTCTCTGTAACCGTTTTTTTAAAAAGCATATTTAAAAGTTCCCATTTAAAAATTATGTATTTCTTGCAAGATACATTCCCACTTCATGGAATCTTCCCTAATTTTCTGTCATATTTATTAGAAGTTTTATTTGTAGAAGACTCATAAGAGGAAGAGTAAAACATAAATATTACCTTGCTAACATAAGGTTGGCATTTGGATTATTTGTCCCTGGCCCTGTTGGACTCCACTTGATAGTATAAATTTCTTTATTATGTGCTTGCAAATCATGGACACAATTGTCTTGTTTCATGCTCCATATCTAAGCAAAAAAGAAAAATGTATAAAATTATTTTCTATACAAAAGGTACAATTTAAACACTATCTTGACAATTCAAAATATAAGTGGTATTATCCAGAACAATGTTTATGGAGGTCAAGGGAATATTTGAAAATAAAGTGTACAATATATTTATCTCTTTTTAAAATGACAGTACTTTCCAAATATTCACTATTGTGAGGCTTCAGGACATAATTAACTGTAATCCTAAGATTACTTTTGACAGCTTCAGATGGTATAAACTCTAACGTTCAATAAGCTCCTGGGGTAATGTTTCTAACATGTTTAAGGCGTTAGTTTATATGCTGTCCCTTAAATAAAAGATCAACGTTATAAATTGCTCTCAGAATTTTAAATCAGGAAATATTTTGCAATGGAGAAAACAGATAAGCAACTTACAAATAAAATAATATGATTCATGTATGAACCAAAGCATAGGTAACAAAAGCAAAAAGAGGCCCAGTGGGAATACAAAGAATTAAAAAGCTTCTGCACCACAAAGGAAACAATCAGCAAAGTAAAATAAAAAAGGCGAGCAACAAAATAGGAGAAAAATTTGAAAATCGTATGTCCAATATAGGGTTAATTTCCAAAAATATACAAGGAACTCCTCTTATAAGACAACAGCAAAAAAAACTATATTGCTAGAAGAGCATTTTTACTAGTAATGTTTGCAAGGAAGCTCAGGCTTGGGAAAACTATCGAACTAAAAAACAGCAGGTATTTAAAGAGAAAACCTACCAGGTTACCAAGGTTACATTTAGTCTGTTCATAGGGGAAGGAAAAGCAGTCCCTAATGCGTATGCTGACTGTAAAGGTCATCATGTCTATAGTCACTGGCGTTGCAAAGTCAAGAACAACATTATTTTCAGTAGTTAGTATGTTACAGGAAAGGGATTCATTAATTTTGGAGATTGATATTAGTTTGTTCTTTATATCAAAATGTTTTTTCCCTCTAACTGTGATGTGCATAGGTGTTAGTTCTGCTTTTAGTCACACAACAAGAAAAATGTAAATTCACATTGAGATGTGAATACTGGCATGTCAACTAGGCTCACTCACAATAAGTGATTCTCTGCAATCTATCAGTCTCCAGGCAAGGGTGACTCAAATTACCACCACAGCAAAATCAATACAGTTCACAGAATCTCAGTCCAAGTCATGAACGCTACAGAGATCTTCACGACTTATTAGTCAAATCTTTACATATGCAAATACACTTACTGCAAATATATGTGACTTTCTAATAGTGAAGACAATTTATAACAGCACATTTCTAAGTATCATAATTCCCATCATGCAGCCATCCTTTTCAGGGGAATTTATTTGCTATATTCAAACATTTAAAATACCTCATAAAAGAAAATATAAAGAACAAGGTTTAAGCACTCAAGGAACTATAAAAGACATTCTAAACAGTGTTCAAATGGCCTGAGCAGTAACATTGTACGACATCTCCACCCCATTTCTCCCACTCTCTAAATTACCTTCAAAGTCATGTCATCAGAACAAGAGGCCAGGAGATTGCCAGTTGGGTCCCATTTGATAGCATTTACTTCATTCTAAAAATAACAGTAAATATTTACATTTTCATTTTATAGACTGGTTGCTCTTTGGTCATTAAACATACATACAGTGGTGCCTCGGTTTTCGAACATCTCCGTTTATGAACACCGTAAACCTGGAAATGCTTCAGTTTTTGAATACTCCTCAGAAGTCGAACATGCCACATGGCTTCCACTGAGTGCAAGACACTGAGGCCTAGCTGCTGGCTGTTGATCCCTCGGCTTTCCAATGTTTCAGAACTCAAACAGTCTTCCAGAATGGATTACATTCGAAAACCAAGGTACCACTGTACTTCGAAACCACTCTGAAACGTTACTTATTCATCACAATCACTTTAAAGGGGGGGAAAAACGTTTCTCACCGTGTGTCCCTGGAATGTTTTAATAGGTCTATCTTGTCCTAATTTACAGACGTGAATGCACATGTCTGTACTACAAGAAGCAAAAGTGTTGTTGCTCTGCCAATCTACATCCAATGCTGGTGCTGAAATGACAAAAAGCCCAGTTAGCATTCATTCCCCATGTACCAACATCTAGGAACCCTAGTTTTAAACCATGGTTGGACATTAAATATGCTAACAGGAACATAAAGTTCTACTTTATACTTATAAAAATATAATTTAAAGAAATTATAGCTAAACATAAAAAATATTAATAAATTTCTGGTTAGTTGCCTGTCAGACACAGCCTAATAGAAAGTACACTGGCCTGGTAATATGGAGATCAGTGTTCCCAAGAGCATGCTCTGTGAAATACCAGCACTGGATTTTGGTTTTTCATTTGTAAATGATAAAATTGAACATGATGCTATGCTTTTTAATTCTAAAATTCTGTGAGTGTTCAATGAACAAGAGGCCGTGGTTCTGCCACTCCCCAACTAGTAGTGGGCCCTAAGCAAGTCACTTAACCTGTCATGGTATTTCCCTCATCTTAAAAAAAGGGGGGAATAGAACCTTTACGCTAGTACACAAGAATACCAAGGATATTGTGAAAATCAAGTGAGATGAGATGTATGGAGAGTACTTTGTGAATTACAAATTAGACAAATGTTACATTTAATAAGTATCATTCCCAGTATCTACTCAAATGATAAATGGAATACTGCATATGATTCACAAATACATTTTCTTCTAAGAGATTCCCATCAAAAACCTCTTAAAATCTATGTCATTGAATTTCAAACCTCAGAGGCCCAAAGCTGGCTGGCATTTAATACTTATTTTAGCTCTACTATGATTAAAGATTCTTTCCTTTCCTTCTCCTCTGCTGCAAGGTGCAGGTTCTATAATTAGCAATGCAGATTAAGGTAATGATATCAAGTAATCAGGTTAAACAATAGAAGCATACAAAAAACAATGGACTCAGAGCAGGGGTAGATACACTATAGCCCATTAGACAAGACAGTTTTTACATTTCAATTGGCTAGGGAGAAAAAAACAATCAAAAAGCCTACACCTGATCAAAAGAACACCCATGACGGTGAAAATCATACTTAATTCAAAGTTTGGTGTCCATATATAAAGCTTTATGAAACCCAGCCAAGCTCATTAGGCTACATATTTCCTGCGGCTGCTTTTGCACCACCAGGGCAGACTTGACTAGCTACAACAAAGATTCTACAGCTTACAAAACCAGAAGTTATTTTCTGAACCTTTACAGAACAAGTTTACCATTTAGAGGAAACAGAAAAAGCAGAAAAACAGGAAGGTTAAATTTAAGCTGTGTATCTTCATTATTAGAGAAATAAAGGATTTAATTAGAGGAGGTCAGAACTGGTGTCTACGGGAAGGGAAAAAGAAAATCACTCTGTGTGTATCTAATTATAATAGTAATTGGCAATGCTGCGATTAAACATAGTATAAATAAGTGTTTTGAGCATCTGGACTGATAAGCCAAAAAGTTTGTCATGTGTGAGGACTTGAAACTATGGAAAGGAGCAGCAAAAAGAAAGAATTAAAGCATTTACGACTCAAAGAAATATTTAATCAGGACTTTGAAAACTATATCAAGATACTTTTAAAGAGACGAAGGACAACAGGCAACAGTGAAAATAATTTCATTAACTGGCTAGGGACAAATCAGGTAAAAATCTAAAATCTAGAGCACAGCTCAAGGAAGCTAACGGTAGTAACATGGCCAGACATTACTAAAGAACTAGCTTTGAGTGTATTTCCACAACAAAAACCAGGAATCAGGACACTACCTGGAATGAGTCAGCAAAGGAAAAGTAGTCCTTACAAAACGGGAAAAGACATGTTGAATAGAAACTTACTATGCAGGGGTATGAAATATTAAATCCGCTCTCCAAGCAACCTTTCTGAAACTAGTGGCATATGAAAATATTAACATAAATTTGACTTTTGTACAAAATTTCAAATTACAAGAATTCTCACCAGATTAAACAAGAACAAGGCACGATATTAGAGCGGGCAAGCGAAAGTGAACGGCAGTGACTGCTACTGTCACAGGCAACGCTACTCTAGGTGGTTCTGGTCTCCTCCCTCCCACTAGAAGCTCTTCACCTGTGTGTCCAGTCCCGTTTCTGAGCACCTGGGTGCTCAGGGCTCCCAGGGGCAAACTTCTTCAGAGACCCACCCTGCTCTGCTCCTGTTTACTTCCCCAAATGTGGCTAGCACCCAATAGCTAGTGATATGTAGTTGAGGGAAAGTGGGCCAGTTAAAAAAAACCTAGCAACCTTGGCTCAAAATGAGAAAAAGTCTGAGGTGTAAATAAAAACTCCAGAGCCATGTCTATCCGGCTGAAAATGGGCTGCTTCCCCCAAACTCCTCCCTTCCTTGGCTCCTTCCTTCTTTCCCATCCTGCTTCCCACAACTCCTAGCTTGTTTCTCCTGAGGTTTCCTTAATAAACCACTTCACTCAAATGCTTGGCTCAAGGTCTGCTTCTGAGAGAATCCAACTTAAACCAGCCAGTAAATAAAACTACAGGCCAACTTTGATTGGCACTGTGTGTGAACTCCGCTGCATCTGTGTGCATCACGACTTCTCAGAGCAATACAGATGACGGTCCTGTTCGTGTGTCACCTTGCTCTCAGGTCCACTCCTTACCACACTCTGTCTTCCTATGTTCTGCATCCAGGGGCCTGACTCTCTCAAATCCACATTCCAGCCTCCTGTGCCTGCAGTTTTCCAGAAATCACTATCAAGAGCCCAAGGTCAGGAGAAACAAAGAGGACAGGCAAATGTGCTCCCATTTCTCTTTCAGGTTGGGCCTCTGGCAGTTGCTAGGATTACTCCACAGGGCTTGCTCTTGCCAGGCAGCCTCTCCTCTAAGGTTCCAATTCACACTGGGCATTTGGATCCTGCCGTCTTCTCTAAGTCTTAGGTTTCCGGCAGTGTTAAACTCTGAGTTACCTCTAAGTATTCTTCTGTTTTTCACTCTTCCAGCACCTCTGCAACTATTTCCTTGTATTAAATTCCCTTTCTTGGATTACCTGGTTTAGATTCTGCTCTTGTGCCTGGAATCTGACTCAGTAACTACTTAACACTACATTTTCATTTTGACATTAAATATATTACTTAAGATATTTCAAAAAGAATTTTAACAAAATGTTTCTTAGGTAAATAACTTATTCAAGTGTTAAGTAGTAAGGGAAAAAAAGACCTGAAAAATCAAATTAATTTAGAAGACAATTCAATGTATAATAAATTGCTTTGAAGAAGGTCAAATATCTGTCCTGATGCACCAGGGTACTAACTTGGTACAGAGTTGTCTACAAAATCTTAGTAGGAGAAAATAAGTAGTAGTATTCAAACAGACACACTTAGGTTCAAACAAAAACAAAAACAAACTATGAGCAGGTACAGACAACTGGAGGAGGCTGGGGAATGCTGCAACATGAGCTGTGTGATTAATGGGTCTGTGATTTGTCTGGCTCATAAGATGCAATGGTTATGGATTGGTGCAATCTAAGAACACAGGCAAGTTCTTTAGGATAGAAAAAGACCTCTAACATAAAATGTGCTCTTATGTAAGTGATATATAAGAGTTGTGTTTGCTATTACTGGCCTCATTTTACACATAATAAAAGCTAAGAAAAGTTAATTTGCCCAGGGTAACACAAACTTTTAATTTGAAGCCGAGATTCAAATTTCTGTGTCCTCCAAATCTGATTTATTTTTGTTAACCTGTGCATCCTTCATAAGTTAAAAAGGTAATGAACAAACCTATGAGGGGGCAAGGAAGAAAGGCATTCATTACTCATTTCCTTTTTTTTTTAAACAGCTTTATTCAAATACAATTCACATGCCACAGGATTCACCCATTTAAAGTACACAATTCAATGCTTTTTGGTATATTACATTATTAACTTTTAAATATTGTGGTCATATGTAACATAAAATATCATTTTATTAAGTATACAATTCAGTGGTATTAATTATACTCATAATGTTGTGCAGCTATCACCACTATTTCCAAAACCTTTTCATCACCCCAAACACAAACTTTAACCATTAAGCAATAACTCTCCATTCCTCCCACCCCCAGTCCTGCTAACCCCTATTCTTTACTTTTTGTCTATATGCATTTGCTTATTGTAATTACTTCATATAAGGAGAATCATACTACTTGTCCATTTGTGTCTGGTTTACTTCGCTTAGCATAATGTGTACAAGGTTCACTGATGGTACAGCATGCGTCCAACTTTGTTTGTTTTCATGGCTGAGTATTAGCTGTCTGTCTAGACCCCATTTTGTTGACCCATCCATGTGCTGATGAGTGCTGGGTCGTCTCCACCTTCTGACTACTGTGAATAATGCTGCTATGATCACCGACAGACAAGAATCTGTTCAAGTCGCTGCTTTCAGTTCTTTTGGATACATATGTGGGAGTACAACTGCTAGGTTACATGTTAATTCTATATGTAGCTGTCAGTGTAACTGCCATACTGTTTTCCACCATGAATGCACCATTTTACATAGAAAAGTATAAGGGTCCTAATTTCTCCACATCCATGAACACTGTTATTTTTTATAGCTGCCCTAATGGGTATGAAGTGGTAACGCATTGTAACACATCTATAATCATGATTTATGCATTACACAATTTATGCATTATATACACAGGAGAACATTCAGTAAAGGAATTAAAATACAATAATTTAAAAAGCATGGTAGACTTCCATTTCTGGTCAATATGAAGTGAAAGGGACCATATTTACCTCCTGCCTCAAACAACCAAAAAACTTACAAAATATATGAAAGAATAGTTTAAGACACTGGACATTAGGCACAAAGGACAGTGGTTCCTCAGAGAAAGGACACCCAACAAACAATGTGCCTTCAAAATTGCCCAAGCTTACAATCTGGAAAAAAAAAAGTCCAGGTTTTGGCACAGGAAAGAGAAATCTCCCTAGGCAGAGATCCATGAAATTCCTGAGTTGAACAGACAAAGCTGAGAATCTGGGGAGACAAAGGCAGCTAGAATTCACAGGACAGAGTACTAGAAAGGAGAGAGCTACATAGAGAACTCTGAAGACCTGTAGGGGGCTCTAATCACATATCCAGCACAAGTGCGTGACAATACTAGCTGAGACCTGGGAATGAACAACTTAAACAGATGAGAAGAAACAATGCCTGATACACAAGGCTGGGAATAGCGCCTGTATCCATCCACCAGTCAGATGAGAAACTTCATAATGCATGGAACACTGGCTAGAGTGCACTTGAGGTTTTTACCTCAATACTGGGAAATAATTAGCCATAAACTGAGCACTTTTTCACTGCCATTTAATAATTTTATAAGCAACACCTAAACGATCAAACCATTTCTTAACTGTGTCCCAGAACAAAGTTCGCAAGTACTTTTACAAGAATACATTCAACAAGGCAAAATTCAAAACATCCCACTTCCAACCAAAAGTAACAAGGCACTCAAAGATACAGGAAAATGACCAAAATGAAGAGAAAAATCGTGTTAGAATTAGCAAAGACATCAAAGCACTTGCAGATACAACTGACAGCTGCACAATACACAGTAAAAAATATGCATATAACTTTGACTCCTCAAAAACTCAACTAGTCATCCCACAGTATTTGCAGGGGATTGGTTCCAGAAACCCAATGGATATCAAAATCCATGGATGCTCAAGTCCCTTATATAAAGTGATGTACAAAATGCATAATTAGGCCTGGCCCGTGTGGCTGTTGGTTAAGTATTGTCCCATGTACCAAAAGGCTGCTGGTTTGATTCTGGGACAGGGCACATGCCCGGGCTGCAGGCTATATCCCCAGTAGGGGGTGTGTGGGAGGCAGATGATGATGTCTCTCTCTCGCTCCTCCCTTCCTCTCTCTCTAAAAAGAACCCCAAAACCGTATTTCTTTAAAAAAAAAAAAAAAAAAAAAGCATATAGTTAGCCCTCTGCATCTAAAGTTGGTTGAATCCATGAATGCAAAACCCAAGGATATGGAGGGAGGAATGTATATTTATTGAAAAGAAAATGCATATACATGGACCCGTGCAGTTTAAACTCATGTTGCTCAAGGGTCAACTGTACATACCATGTATCCGGATAGTTAAGTAGAAACACAAAAGATGTAAAAAAGACCTAAATCAAACCTCTAGAGATGAAAACTGAAATGTGAAATGAAAAAATGCACTAGATAGGATAAGCTGTAGATGTTTCAGAAAAGACTTGTGAAATTGAAACAGTACAGAAAACACCCCAAAATTTAAAAAACAAAACAAAAACAGCCCAGCCAGTGTGGCTCAGAGGTTAAGCATCGACCTATGATCCGGAAGATCAAGGTTTGATTTCTGGTCAGGGCACATGCTTGGGTTGCGGGCTTGATCCCCAGCAGGGGGCGTGCAGGAGGCAGCCAAACAGTGATTCTCTCTCATTATTGATGTTTCTCTCTCTCTCTCCCTCTCATTCCCTCTCCCCGAAATCAATAAAAATATATGTAAAAGAAATAAACAAAAAAAACACAACTTGACCTAAATGACATTTATAGGAACAATGGAATTAAATTAGAAGTCAATATTACAAATCTCTCTGGAAACTTCCCAAATACTCAGAAATTAATAAGGCAAAAGAAACCAACAGTGGAAAGTATTTTGAACAGAATAAAAACACAACGTATAAAAATTGTGAGATGTCACTAAGTAGTAAGGAGTTAGAAGTAAATTTATAGCACTAAATATTTACATTAGAAAAGCAGAAAGGCCCAATTCAGTGCCTCAACTTCTGAAAGCATGACACATAAAAGAAGTTAATAAATTATAGAATTCATCAATATTATTAACTTCTGATCTCCAAGGACACTATCAAAACAATGCAAAAACAAGCCACAGATTCCAGATAATATTTGTAAATACGTGATAAAAGACTTGCACCGAGAATAAAGAACTCAGAAAACATATTAATAAGAAAACAAAATTAAATAAAAGGTCCGATTTAAATAGGCACTTCAGCAAAGAAAACATAAAGATGGTAAATGAGCACATGGCAAGATGCTCAACATCATCAGTCATTAGGAAATGCAAATTAAAACCACAGTGAGATACCACTACACACATCTTAGAATGGCTACAATTAAAAAGACTACATAAAAAGTGCTGGCACAATACAGAGGGATGACCCACTGCTGCTGCTAACATAAACCAGTTTAAAAAGAGTACTCTGGAAAACAGTTTGGCAGTTTATTAGTAAGTTAAATATACACCTACCATATGATCTAGTCATTCTATTCCTAAGTATTCACACAGGAGAAATGAAAGCAGAAGTCCGTATAAAGACTACTTGTGTACATGAATGTTGATAGCAGTTTTGTTTGTAATAAGCAAAAACTGGAAACAACCCCAATGTGCTTCAGTAGGTGATAAACTGTGGTATATACCTACGTAATGGAATACTACTCATCAATTGAAAGGAAAGCAATATAATTATGTAGAGTGAAAAAAGCAGACCAAAGAATACGTACTGTGTGATATTTACATCATGTAAAGGAATTACTGGTGACAGAAAAACTATGAGTGGTTGCCTGGGTTGGGGGAGAGAGCATAAAAGGGCAGAAGGGAACTTCTGAAGCCAACAGATGTAATTCAATGTCTTGAATGTGGTGATAGATTCAATGGTATATACATGTCAAAACATACTGAATTGTACAATTTAGATATACATACAGGGCAAAAGGAGGTTTACAATTGCTCGTATGGAAAATAACATAACAGTTAATGAGTAATAATACAAAATAAACTGTGTTTTGCATACTCACACTGTAAACCCAGCCTACTTTTGCCCCAGACTGTTTTTTTTTTGTTTTTTGTTTTTTTGTCAATTCACCCCAATAAAGCTGTTTTAAAAAGGAAAAGGCACGGCAAGAAAGAATACCGTGGGTAAAAAGCTTATTTAGTTGTGAAATGACTTTAATACCATCTACCTCTCATCTTGTCGCCAGGACTAAATGGGATCATGTATACAAAGAGCAGCATCAAAGATGGTACACATCATATAGTACAATACACTTACTTATTTCAAAACTCCATCACTTCTAGGAGGTAGGAGAAACATTTAGGCAAAGAGCCAGAGGCCTAACAGTTCTATTTGAGTGAAGGCTAGAAGCAAAGGTCAACAAAACCTGGTGTGTAAATGCCTATCATGTGGTAAGCTGTAATCAAACTGAACTGGTAACACTATGCCTGCAAAATTACATTACTCACATACTACAGAAAAATAATTCTGTACCTTATTTGATTGTTTAGTCACACTAAATAGAGAAAGACAAAAGAGCAAACTGCCAGAAGCTGTAAGTTTGTTTTAAAACTGATGCTGTGCCCTCCCAGTGAAAAAGATGTTATAGAGATTTGAAAATAACCAGTTATTTTAGTCAGCCTCCAAATGAAAGCTCTTCCAAACTAGACCAAAGCCCTGAAAGAAGCAGTCAAATCGGGTATTATTAAAACTACTGCTGTAACAGTTACTAGGCATCTTGTTCCAGTTTAGTATCAGCTACTGTCATCAGGAAACCCCCTGAATGCAGGTACAAAGGTTCCAGGCTGCAAATGAGCACAGGAACTTAAATCCTGTGTCCCTACTCATCTGGTTGTATGCCCTGCTGCATGGCTGTACATCATGGGGTATGGAGCACAGTATTTTGGGGGTAAGAATTAAGCATCAAATTATTCCCCAAAAGAAAAAATCCACCTACAGCACCAAAATTCAAACATTGGAAAAGCCTAATTTTTATTTTATGTACACAGGTGGACTGATTTAGATATATCAATCCAAAATGAGAAATGATAATACCTAAATCTGTAGGAGTTTATACGGTATTTTCATATACGCTACTTAGTTTTATCCTCATAACAGATAGGTATTATTATCCTTCATTTACAGGTAGAGAAAATGAGGCTCAGAAAGGTTAAGTGAATTGCTTAGTCTTAAAGCTTGTTAAGTGGAGTGAAACTGTCATTCAAATCTAGACCTCCTGATTCAAAAACCTATGTCCTTACCATTAAATAATACCAACCAGGCCTCAAATGCTTTGTTATGGTACATTTCACAGAAAACTTTTGATGATCCTGACAATTAACATCTGAAAGTCATTGAACACCAACCCCTCAAAGAACTAGTAACAAGACTGATGGTTCAAGATTTTAAATAAATTTAATGCTGTTAAAAGTTCACTTAGAAAAACAGAAAAAAACCCACAAAACTCTAGTTTCTCATGCAAATTGTAAAGATTTACCTGAATGAAAAGGAAACTGTTGCTTGGCTTCACCAGTATGTGCATCCCAAATAATTGTTGTCTAAGATTAAATAGAAAAGAAAAATATATTGCTAAGAAGTTAAAGTGAATTTATTATAGATGCGTAAGACAGATTTTCCTAACTGTACTGAAGCAATATGAAATGTCAGGGTGGATGAATTATTAACATTTACTCTTCCCAACTAGGACAATGAGCTAGACTCTACTTTTAGGGTTTGGGAAGGAGGATATGACTATTAAGTAGTTTAATTTTCCCCTGATGGTTTTTTATGAGTCACTTTACTTGAAATAACAGTTATTGGTTTGTCTACAAAGTACCAGACATTGTATTAGAGTGCTTAAAAAAAATTTCACTGCAATAGTGTATTATTTAATGTAAGATTTTTATAGCTATTAAGCTACAAAGAGAAAAATTCTTAGTTAACAAAGTAATCAGTTAATTCTCAGTATTAAGAATTTTAAAGCTCACATTTACATATAAAGGCAGCTTGAGTTTTGACAATTACCTAGAACAGTATCTTTTATATTAATTACATCAAAGTATGACACATAGATCTGAGTGGATATATTCACCATTCCTTTTCATACTCTCCCATCACTAGTTTTATACCTTTGGGGGTGTTAAGTATTGCACAACGCAGTGACTATTCACAGGCTATCCCCTCCCGTTCCTGGCCTCCTTCACGTTTCTTCCCCTTTTCTCTCTACTTCCCTTTGACAACACACCCAGCTATCTATAAGCATGTACTTTCCTAGATTCACGGTAAAGGGGGTGACCTAAGAAAATAAAGGAAAAAGGTGGCAATATTTTTAACCCATGCATATTTACCAAACTAATCAGGTGCAAAAGCTGGAAGGATCCTGTACTTCTTATATTTTCAATTAAGCACCAGGAGGTTCAGCTAATAGACTGGCGCTAAGATTTCCCATGGAATCACTCCAGAGCCATACTCACTGATGAGATAAACTAGAAACTTTAGAAGGGAAGCAAAGAGTATGGGAAGTGTGACACTCATTACAGCTCAAATTCCAGCAGAAGCAAGGAGTGCAGTCACATAAATAAAGCATAAAGGCTTTAGAAATGAGTAGGTTTAGAAATGAGCTGACAGAAAATCTAAGAAAGTATTCTATAACTATCATTAACTCATACCTGAATTTCCCAAATGAATGTTTTGTTTATGTAATTAGCAGAGAAAATATTACTTTCAATTCTACTTTGTAACACATTAGCCTTTATAGAATTTAGTTTAATATTCTTTTACCTTGTCTACTCCAGCACTTAGGATGAAATTTCCTTTCTTATTCCATTTTAATGCAAATATAGGGCCTTTATGCTGCCCTAAGGTGCTAGCAAGGTTACCTAGTATTAAAAAGACAAACAAAAAAACATTACTTCGAGCTTTATAACAGACCAACAACAAAGGAAAAGAAAAATGCTTCACTTACCATCTTTAGTCCATATTCTGGCAAACCCATCGTATGAACCAGTTGCTAGAAGTGTACCTTCACTCTGTCAGAGAAACACATTTCTTTCAGTTATGTAATCCAGAAAGGGCATGTCACTTATTAGAATGTTTAAATCCTAGGTACAGCCTCCCCTGACATTCTCTGCTTCAAAACTGTTTCAGTGTTACCTACTTGGGAGTGCCACACGGGCCATCAAACACCCTTCACTGCTGGGAAGCTGGAACTTTGCAGCACTCAACCAGCGAGTGTGGGAGCCTCTGTCCAAATCTCAGAAACAGCAGAAGTGCTCTGGAGCAGGACCCCTGCATGCTGAGGTCTACTGTATCCTTATAGATGCATATGACTAAAGATGGGGAGGCTGGCAGACTGGGAAGGACACCAAAATCATAATCTTTTAATGATTCAATAGAAGTAAAAAGCAAAATCTTCCAAAATATTTCATTATGATTTAAAGGTTTCATATGGCCCTCTTTAAGTCTTTTATTGTCTAAATAAAATGTTGTATGATACAAACAATACTACTGTTTCAGATGATCAGATTCTTAAATATCACTGAATGTTCCTTTCCTCTGTTAATTCTTTCCCAATATAAAATCCTTACCAATAAAAAATGCAGCACAAGAGAACCAGAGAAGAGCACAGGTGACTTGACAGTAAAGGAAGTTGAGTAGTTTTGTGGAACCACTTTACTAGGAACACATTCCAGTCCCTCTAACCTCATATTCCTTTGCTGGGCCCTGCGCTGACAAATAGCACAACGAAGGGCAGGTCTGACATTCTATGGAAACGGAAGTTACAGAGTACACTGAACAGACAGCTGCGGGGATGAGTCAGCCTTGCTGGAGACAGGGAATGAAATCCTGACTTATCCAGTACTTTCTTGATGCTTTTTGGTAAGGGAACTGAAAACAATGTCATCTTTCAGACCTCTCAAGCCACTAGCTGTGTAGGTAAGTGACAAACAAATGCTAGTTCTGGAGGTTGTAGAGTAAGTCCTGCCAGGACTTAGAAATCCACAATGGTTCTAACTGAGGATGAGGTAGCCATCCTAAAGCCAATAGAAAAGGCTTACTTCCAGACTCTGCACAATGGTAAGTTTCTTTTAAAGTAATGGTCCCCAAATGTTTTAGTTCATGGACCACTAAGTTGAAAAACAAAACAAAACAAAACTTGAAACATTAAATATGTCAAGCTCTTACTTTAGTTATAAAAAAAAAATCCATTAATCAAGAATACCTCTTTTTTTTTT